CACATTAGCCTTTCTTTATGATTAGCTAGACCACTAGGCCTTTAGCTGACTTCCTGACTTGCAAGGGAAGTGTTTATTGACAAAAAGGGACCAAGAAGAATATTACCATGCATGTATTATGTGGGGAAGTGAAAGAACAATCTTAAGTCTCTTTGGTTAAAATAGGAATATGAACTTGTCAGAGTCAAACTCATCTGGGGTGTTTTGGAGAGGAAAAGGGGCTGTCTCCTCATGACAGGATCAGCTGTAGTCACCAGCAATGCAGGGGAACCAAACTAATGAGAAACATGTTATATGGCTAACACTTTAGCTATTTGATATTTTCAAAAGCATCTAAAAGGTGCTATTTCAGGAACAGTCATAACTTCGCTAAACTTTATTTTGATATTAAATTACATGTAGGGAGTCTCATCAACTTTTGTTGCAGAGTCTACAAAAGTTTTTTTTTTTTAAGTTTTTTAAAATTAATTTATTTATACAAGCACTACACTGGGTACAGTCAGAAGAGTGGGAGGGTGAGAGAGCCAGAGCGGGGAACAGAACAGGCAGACTGATGAAATACACTGCTGAGGGGAGCAGTGGGCGTGGCAGGAGAGGTCTGTTGCGCCATGTGGAACCCTCGCTGGCGGCTGGGGATTTAACCAGTGCTGCAGAGGCTATGGGCAGCTTCGCAGCCCAGAGCTCAACCGCTGAGCCACCAGGGGAGGCCCTTTCTTAAAAATTTTTTTTTTAATTTCAATTTTTTTAGTCTACAAAAGTTTTAATCTGTACCTATTGATCCTAGTTGATGGGATCAGTAGACTCATTTATCTATCAGTTACTTTCAAAAATGGGGTGTGTGGGGCCTCCCTGGTGGCACAAGGGGTTAAGCACCACACTATGAAGCAGTCTGCAGCCTCTGCAGCATGAGTTCGATCCCCAGCTGGCCAGGGAGCAACCCACATGGCGCAGCCACCTCTCCTATCTCGCCCACCACTCCCCTCAGCAGTGTATTTCAGTCCGTCTTCCTGTTCTGTTCCCCGCTCTGGCTCTGGTGAATCCTCTCACACCCCTGCCCCGCATCTGGCCTGTACCCCAGCTCTTGTATGCATAAACAAATAAATCTTTTTAAAAAATGGGGTGTGTGTATGCATGTGTGGTTTCCATTATGTAATGAGATGTCAATGACGTACGAATAGTTGTTTTGTAAATCCTAGCAGAATAATGGTAGTGTTTAGGGCAAGGTTGGTTTAATGCTGTTACTTTAAAATTGGTGTTGGAGGTCTGAAAAGCCTTAATCCTCCTTCTACACTTTCTCTGGGGTCAACTTTGTGAAACCTTCTCCCTGAGTTCTCCTCCACCAGCAATTATTCACTTCCTTTTCTAAGCTACAGATATTACTACATTTATCATATTACATCAGTCATTTGTATTCATTTTTGATCCTTCATGAGACTCAGAACTCTGGAAGTACACGGCATATTTGTTATTGTATCTTGTTCATGTTTGTATTGAGTACAGAGCCTGCAGGTTTCCAATACTGAAGGTTTGCAATATCTTGCCAAAGGCAAGTAAAACCAGACTCTAGAGGCCAAAGGAGTTTCTATGGAAAAGATGTTCTTTGGTGAATTCCTCTGCAGGTCAAGCCAAGTGCCCAGCACTTTCTCCAAACAGGCCACATTGGAGCAGTTGCTTTCAGTGCTGCTCTTTTCTCATCAGGCCTTCTCTGCTGGACTGTTCAGTGATTGAAGCAGGAAGAAGAGGCATTGGTGCTAAACTGCTCTCACCTATCTCTCCCACTACACCCCCCAAGCCCCCAAAAGAGAAAAGATTGGCTTGAGATCCTTTGGGCTGCCAGAGCCCATCATTTCACTTCTCTGCCTTTTGAATCCTTATTCTGTAGAAACAAAGAGTTGAATTAGGAAAACTGTTTTCTCTCCAGGCCCTAAATGTATGAGTCCTTGAACCAATTCATGGGCAATAATCTGTCTGTAACCCCAAACTCTTCCCACTCTCTGCAGAGCAGGCCTGGTTCCCTGAGAATGAGACCTGCCACCATATCAGTTATCTTTGACCTGCCCTTCACGATGTGCCTTACCTTTTGTGGGGTGCTCATTTCTCTTGCACCACGCTTGCCTTCTGCTGCCTGCCTGTGTGCTCCACTGCTTTGATTCTGTGGATCAATCCTGCTTTCCCTAGCGATTTTAACCAGATCTCTATAAAATGATGTGCTAAATTTAGAACACTAAATATATCATGATGCTATTTATGTGTTTTATTTTAAACTACATAAGCTGGTCTTTGGTCTGTTTGCTCTCAGATCTATGCTCTACCATCCTCTGCCCTGGGCTTTGCATTCCTGGCAGCTACATTTCTTAGTCTCTCTTGCAGACACAGTCAAAGAAAGCTGGTGATGGAAGACTGGAGAATGAGCAGAGAGAATTCAGGTTTTTTTTCCCTTTTTTATGCTTCATATTCTGTCTGGTAGCATCTTGTCAATGTTTCCAGCCCCTGCTGTACAACCCTTTCCCCATTGTTCTAGCTATAGCTTACAAGTACTGTCATGGTTCCAGATTCTTCTAGGAGTGTATGTATGAAAATATGAATAATTATGTGAATATATATATAAAAATACATGTGTACTTATGAAGACACATGGAAGACCTGGAAGTTTGCATATGAAACTGTTTCCAGTGGTTTTATGACTGGGAAAGCGGTGGGTCTGGGTGGGTGCATAATTGCCGGAGGATGGGAGTACTGCAACTTATTTTTAATTTACTCTTTTTTTTTAATTAATTTTTTTACATCACTGCTCATTTTTAAACAGTATTTGCTTCCCCCCACCCCCTCAGGTGTAGTCCCAGAGTTTCCTTCACCAATGTACCTGTGCACCATCACCTCAGTCCCCTGAGCTCCTCCCTCCCTCCCTCTGATCCCTCTCCCTCCTCCTCCCCTGCAGTATGTCTCTTGTTTATAATTGTCTGTTTTTGCTTTGTTGTGTTTTGTATGGTTATTATTTTTTTACACTAATGTCTTATTTGGTTCCCTATATTCCTGCTATAAGTGAAACCATCTGATATTTTTCTTTTTCCTTCTGGCTTATTTCACTGAGCATAATTCCTTCTAGTTCCATCCATGTTACTGTGAATGGCATTAGTTTATCTGTTTTGATTGCTGAATAATATTCCACTGTGTATATATGGTACATCTTCTTGATCCAGTCATCTATTTTTGGGCATTTGGGTTGTTTCCAGGTTTTATCTATTGTAAATAGTGCTGCAATAAACATAGGGGTACAGGTCTTCTTTTGAATCAATGTTTTTGTGTCTCTTGGGTAGATCCCTAGTAGTGCAATTGAGCACTGCAACTTCTTAAAAATAGCTTCATTGCGGCATAATTTGTATGTCAGACAGTAATTTCCTGTATATGCATATGTGTTATTTGCATTTCTGACATTGAGCGTGTAGTAACATGTTGCTTACATAATATTACAAAATAACTAATTAAAAAACTAATAGCAGGAGTCGGATGAAAGAGACAACATACCAAGTGTTTTAGCCAATGCCTAAGCCATGTGGGCGGCGGGAAATTTTGCAGGTGACATTGCATTGAACAAATATTTTTATTTGCAGTGTGCCAGGCACTGAGGGTCCATCAGTAAACTATGGGCATGTTCCCTGCTTATATTATATGCAGTAATTAAACACACAGTTATGTCACAATTAATTAAAGTATTATAAAGAAGTGAGGGCAGCGAAAGACTTAACCTAATCAAGGGAGACTTTCCTGAGGAAATGACTTACCACTGAGAAGAACAGAAAGATGAGCAGATAAAGCTGAGTTGAGGTGGTCAAGCTGGGAAGCCGCTGATTGCTTTTCTGGTTCCTGTTCATGGGGACGCTGCTGTAATAAGAGTTTGCTACAAGGGGTCTCCTTGGAACTCCTGGTAGAATGCCAGTTGACTACCAGTGTGCAGAGAATCTGTGGGTATGGTCTTCTGATGTCTGATGCCTCCCACAGTGTTGAACTCATGGTCTACACCCCAGGGGTCTCTCACCAGGAGGAGAGGAAGCCAGTGTCCTGGCTCCTGTGCTAGTTGTCAAGGCTGGATTGGAAGTGACTCAAAAGCTAAGGATATCAGCAGTGGTACCAAACCCATATTCACCAACACTGCTCCTTTGATGGGAATAACTGACATTTTCTGTCTTAGTAGAGTGGCATACAAATGCCCAAGAAAAGCCCTTGAACTACCTTCCCTCCATATTTCCATTCTTTTTTTTATATATATATTTTTTAATTTTTATATTCCCCATACAATTGTGACCCCCTTATTTTGACCCCAATCCCTCCCCTCCCCGCCCTCCACCCCCCATAGAGTGTCTCTGGTTCATAGTTGTTTGTTGATTTTGATTTTTACTTTCTTATGGTTATTCTTTCTCCCACAACCACTATGGAGAGCTGTGTGGAGAGTTCTTGACCTACTAAACACAGAGCTTCCATATGATCCATATTTCCATTCTTAACTCTTCTTGAAATGAAATGCTGGAACTTGTGGAAAAACTATCCCTGAAGCAAGTTTCATTCTTCCTAAGCTCTGTATTTTTCTCTTCTTGCTTATGCTAACTCAAATTCCTCCTCCCCGCCCCCACTATGTCTCAGTCTTTCTAATTCATAGACATTTTGGCAATGGCTATAATCCCCTTGTTTTACTGTAAATCATCAATCTCCTTTTATTGTAAGCCACCAATTATTCTGTGAAATTAGGTTACTTATAAAGTAGTCCATTAATTACAATTATAGTTTAGTTGCAGCATGTCCAGGTCTCCTAGACTATGTAAAATCAGGTTATGTTTCCTTCTGATGTCTAAATTACAAAGGTAATAACAGGATCTTAACTTGACCTTAGAGGCCTCCAGCTATTTCTGGGCGTCTTCTGCAGGTTGCATCATCTATGCTTACAAACCAGTTGCCACCTGCCACAGATCCACCTGCTCCTTTCTCTCTTGGTCTGATTCTTCCAGGTCTGCTTCCTGCTGGGCCATTTGAAAAACATCAGAGCTGTCGTTGAACATCCTGAAAACGTCAAATTCAGATTCTTCCTGGGACTGCCAGTGTGGAGTAGAGTTTGTGAGCAAATGGCCTTTTCCTCCCAATTCTACATTTACTTGAAGCAATGGTGCTTGGGACTGAGGACCATAAAAGATTTTTGTGAGTAGTATCTCCATTCTCTGATGCTCACCTGTCTAGTCATCAGGGCTTACCCTCAAATCTAAAGAGCTAGGTGGAACATACCATCCCTCAGAATGCCTTAGTTCTTAGTCATCTGAGTCATCACAGCAACTACACTTGGGTCCACTCTCCAAGTCACAAAACAAAATTTCCAACCCTAACAAGAGAAGAAAACAGATTCTGCAATGCCTATGGGGGTTGGTAGTTGTGCTGATCTATGGCAAAAGTTTAAAATTAGACTCAGAAAAAAAAATAAATAAAAAAAAATTAGACTCAGCTGGCCAAAAGATAGTTTATGTAATACTAAAATTTTAATATTTACTCTACCAACTGAAATACCTAGTTTTAAATAGATTCTGAAAAGGAATACCCTCTATCACAATGTCTTCCTCAAAAAATACTGAACATATGTGCACATTTATGTCAAATAACTCACAACAATGGCATCAGTAAGAACTTATCATGGGAACTGAGCAAGAGTTCCTTCTCGGTTCTCATGGGGTGTGTGGCTGTGGTTTAAGAGCAAAGCCTGTGGTCTAGCTATGCTCTTGCCTCTCTGAGGCCCCATTTCACTTCAAGATAGAGCTTCTTCTATTTCCTGGAGAAACTAATAAAACAGAATGGGTCAGAGTGGGACTGTGATCTCTCAAAAATATTCTTTCACTTAACATTGTGTCCCCTCCCTGTAGAGGCTTTGGGAAATTAAAAAAAAAAAAAAGTTTAAAACATTCTCTTTAGAAGCTTACAATTTTGAAAAATTGGTTTAGTTGAGGGTATTATGGTCAGTGATATAAATCAGACAAAGAGAAATACACATGTAGAATCAAAAAACCCTGAACTCATAGAAACAGAGAACAGATTGGTGATTGTCAGGGGTGAAGGTGAGTGTGGGTGGGGGAAATAGGTGAAGGTGGTCAAAGGGCACACACTTACAGTTGTAAAATGAATGCATTATGGGGATGTAGTGTGCAGCTCAACTCAACAGTGTTATATTGTATGTTTGAAAGTTGCTAAGAGTAGATTTTAAGTTTCCACCACACACACAAAATTATAAATTTGTGACATGGCATCCATATTAACTCACCTTATAATAATAGTTATGCTATATATATATTAAATTATTTTAAACTTACATGGTGTCACATGCTAATTAAATCTCAACAAAGCTGAAAAAAAACAGACTTTTTAAGAGCTGAGCATTATTTAATTTATATTTACTATGGATTCTCTCACTTAATTCTCACATAAGGTAAAAACCTACTATTTGCTTCATTTGACTAAGAGGAAAGTGGAGTAACTTGCTCAAGGAACCAGTAGAATTGGCATTCAGGCCCAGAGAGCCACATTCCACAATCTTTGCACTGTCTCTCTAGCCCATTGTCATTAAAAATTCTAGGACTGTTGCCAGCCAGGTAATCAGATTCTTCTCAATACGTATTTGACTAGAACATAGCGAGTGTGTAAGATGGTGGAAAATGGTTTCTTCATCGGCAGGCAAAATTTCTAAGAGTAGTCTCATCAAATTACCATGTTTCAGTTTTCTAAGCAGATACTTGGATTAAAATGCTTTAAACCTTTAAATTCTTTAAAAGTAGTAAAGCCTTTTATTACTGGTTATATTTATAACTATTATGGTATGAATATAGAAACCTAGAGGGAGGTTTTTTTTTTTTTTAAACATTTATATATTTATTTATACAAGAACTGGGGTACAGGCCAGATTCGCTGGAGGGTGAGAGGATTCACCAGAGACAGAGCGGGAACAGAGCAGGCAGACTGACAAGATACACTGCTGAGGGGAGCAGCGGGCGAGACAGAAGAGTTCTACCTTGCCATGTGGGACTCTCGCCTGCCGGTCGGGATCGAACCAGCACTGCAGAGGCTGTGGACAACTTCACAGCACTGCGCTCAACTGCCTGTGCCACCAGGGAAGGTCCCTTAGAGGAAGTGTTTATTAGATGTTTAACTAAGATGTACAAGCAGTGAGAAAACATTTCTTGTTTAAGCCACTGGTTTCTGGTATTTTTTTTTTTTAATGGTGTCCCAAGTCAACTAAAACACCTTGTAAGGTTGTTGAAAGATTAAGTTAGTCAAGATCCACATGAAGAGCTTCTCCTTTAGTGCCTGGCACACAGGAAGCTCTGAATGAGGGTTAAATGGCATTGCTGACCTTAGATCTGTGAACCTGGGTTTTAAGAATCAGTGATGTTGTCCACGGATGTGACGTTACAACTGCATGGGTATGATGACTTTTGAAAAACACATTCAAAAAGCTAATTTTAAATTAATGAAGCAGGAAGACATTTACATTTTAAAGTGAACTCAGCCAGGTAAAAGTGAACATGTCAATCTAGGGCTCATAATATCTCACCCCTTCCTGCCTCCCTTCACCTCTCCTCAAAAGTTTGGATTCATGTTAGTTTAATAAGGCTCCCCCCTCCCTCAACCTCACCCCTAATAAAACTTCAAACTGATAATAAGTATGTTCTTATGGATTTCTAGAGAAAGAGAAAACAGAACAAGAAGTGTATGTATAGATAAAGGAAACCTAGAAAACATAGGTGATGATTGTAATTTTAGGAGTTCCAGTATGAACGGTATTTAGTCTAATTTTAAAATAATAGAAACTAGAATATTTAAATTTTAATTTTTACCCTCTTTTCCTTTCAATGTAGTAAATTTACATATATTATGAACTTTTAGGTAATGTTATGTGAGTCAGCCTAGGATAGACGAATCATTTCTGTGAAGGGCCAGAGAGCCATGTGAAAAAGAAATAATTACTTTAATAAATTAATAAAGTGCACTTTCAGTTCCCAAGCATCACCTTTATGAGGGAGGAAGAAGAGAAAAAGGGAGCAACAAGAAGTAGAGAAGGGAAAGGGATAAAAGGAATGGAAAAAAGTAGAAAAGAAGAAAAGGAGGAAATAGAAGGGAATAAAGGAATTTATAAAATTTCTGTAGGTTTTGAGGAGGCTGTTGTCAAAGTTATTTATAAAGTTACTGGAGAGGAGTAACCCACAGTCTTCATCATCCTTCTGAAATGTAGCTCATTAGCTAGTGTTCACTCAACTTCCATTGCCCAAACCTTTATTTTTATTTTTTTTAAAAGACTTATTTATTTATGTATACAAGAACTGGGGTACAGGCCAGAGGTGTGGAGGGTGAGAGGACTCACCAGAGACAGAGTGGGGAACAAAACAGGCAAATTGACTGTTGAGGGGAGCTGTGGGCAAGGCAGGAGAGATCTGCTGCCCCATATGGGTTATCAACCTGGATGGGGATCAAACTCATGCAGCTGTGGCTGTGAATAGCTTCATAGTGCTGAGACTTAACCCCTTGTGCCACCAGGGAGGCCCCCATTTCCCAGACCTTGAGATAACAACGCTTGGCCTACAGGACATCGGACCCACCAGGTTTGGAGATGTATTAATAGCACTTGTCTACTTTTAACAGTAATTTAAACAGATGATCAACAGTCCCACCTCCTTTTACTCAAATGCATAGGTGGCTTTCCCTGAGATGAATGATTTCATCTTGTCCACCATTTGGATAAAGGCCACACATGTGCAGAGCATGAGAGACAGAGGGAATGACCAAGAGGTAGCTTTGGCTCCCTCCCTATCTTCAAGTTGAAGTCCATCAATAATTTACCCTTCATAATGAGTCTTTGTCTGGAGAGTAAGTTCCAAGTTAAAAAAAAAAAAAAAGAATAGAACACTTAATCTATAGTGGATATACCACTGATATTCAAATTATGTTGTTTGGATAGAGTTTTCTACTTTTAAGACATTTTCTAGGCTTGCCCCTTGTCTTCTCCTTTGTAGAGTTAGAGTGAAAATGACCTGGTCCATAGACTTCTTGGGTGTCATTGGTCTGGGTTTAAATATCAGCCTTTTCAGGAGTTGCCTGGGAAAGCCAACTGTCCAGCACCTGAGAATCTTGGTTTTTTTTGGGAGAGAGAAAGAAACTGGCTCTGTGAAAAGTTTGGGTGCAACTTTTCATCCTTCTGCTCGAAGTGAAGGGTTGAGCTCCCAGCTGGATTATTATCCAGGCAAGCAAGAATGAGCCAGTATTTCAGTTTTTCACAATCCTGATCATGTCACCAAGAGTCTCACTCATCTTTATATACCCAGCACTTAGCACAGAGCCTGACATATGATAAGCACAGGAGCAATGTCTGATGATTTAATGAATTCATGTATTTTCGTGCTGATTAAAAACCAACTGATTTTTTTCTGCTGATGAAATGAGAGGAAGGCTAGTAAGAACTATTGTTTATGTTTCTTGATTCTATAGATGTTTGTGTGCAGGTTCTGCTTCTACTTTGGTAGAACCCTCTCTTAAGAATTCACAACTATATGAGGGTTTCTCACTCAAACAAGATCTACTTACACTGATATTCTGCCATTTCTTTGTACTTCTGGCAAGTCAAGTCAGTGTGTGTCTGGGATCTGGGACACTCAGCAAAGGAAGGCTGGGCAGGCAGCAGCAGCTCTGGAATGTCCCACAGCCACTCCTCCAACAAGCTTTTAATCTCAGCACTTTGAATTAGATGCAGAGTTTAATGGAAAGTTAGCCACTGTTTGTAAATTTCTGTGAAAACAATTTGAAAGATTAGATCCCTTGAACATTTTTCTCCAGGACAGTCTTTTCTAACTAGTCACCACTGAAAATCCTTTTAAGTGTGTTTCCCCACAGAATCCCTGATTTGAAAAATATTGTTCATATGCAAATATATTTGTTAAAGAATAATGAATTTATCTCCCCAAGCTGAAACCATCGAGTCAAGATTTTTTCCTACCTAAAAATCATCCATGAGGTTTTATTTTGAGTAAAAAACCAATTCCTCTTAAACTTCATAAATATCTGAAAATAGTTGGAGGACTGCTCCTCTACCCCCTCAGATGCTGGCTATGACTTTCCTAAAGTGCTAAGCTTCAAGGTTTGAAAGTAGTGCATCAGAGGGCACCAGGCAGACAGCATAGATTAACAGAGTCCTATGATTTCTCCCTAGGTTTTCTGTTATCGATTTACCCTCCTTCCTAGCAATGGTGGGAGACTGAGACAGGTAGTCCTGCCTCACACTTTTCCTGTGTAGGGACCTGTAGCATGATGAGAGTCCTATCTGCCAAACAAGCAGAGGATAAACTTTATCCCCAGTTTTCTGTTAACATGCCATCTTAAGAGAATGCCCACTAAGCCAGCTGGTATCTCCAGCGCCTCTCACCTGAGGAGCTGTCCCTTGAGATGTGGAACAAGTCACCTGTCTCTTTCAGATGAAACGCTTCACCATGGTTTGATTTGATTGATGGTATGAAGTTTCTTCTTTAGGATGATGAAAACTTCTCAAGCAAGAGATAACAAAGCATACTAAGAGAAAAAGGAGTACTTTTGTGAATTTCATAAATTGCAAGAGATTTTTGGGGAAAGATTAAAGCTTGGAAATCTGATCTTGGCTGGTGTAAGAATCTGGTACTTCTTAATTTCCCATTCAGGTTCTCAGTGTTCCAGGAAGCAGTTTGCTCAAGTTTCCTTTCTCCATTTAGCTCTCCTGAATGCCCAGCTTCAGTGCCTGGGCAGTGCTGCCAAGGATCCTGCTGGCGCATTCAGCTGCCATTCAAGGAAACAACCCTCCACACCGCCTCACACTTGGAAGTCTGTCTTACAGCATAAAACAGGTGGAAGGACATTTTGCCTTTAGAGTTCCGCTGGCATGTCTTGCGACTTTTACTGCCCAATGTCAAGAATGACAAAAATCTTTTGTGTATGTTTGGGGGTGGGAAAGACCAGATATTTCTGTGAATAGCAGTTAACTGGCTGTTCAGACAAGATTCCCAGGGCAGCTGTTGTAACTGAGGCAGCAATCGCTCTAACACTTGGCTTTGTTGCTAGGATGGATTGATAGAAACTTTGGACAAATCATTTAAAAAATTATGCAGCCATGATACTGTTTGAATATATCATGGATTATCTTAAAGACTGAATATTTGCTAGTATCAAAATAAGGAAGTGCGATGAGTATGTTAGGTTGTGTTTATACTTCTATTTCCATCTAAATATCTTTTGCTTTCTGTAAAGTCACTAGTATTTGTGGCAAAAATTTGAACATATACAGATTTGCAATTTGTAGCTACAATTTTTGAGACAGGTTTTTTTATATGCTGACAATCTTATTTACAGTAACAAGTTAGTCAGCTTCACATGGACTTATAAATTCTAATTTCTGAATTTTCCAATTATGTGTTCTTAGTCAAAGACTATTTAATTTTTAGGCTGGACACATATATGTACACACACATTTTTTTGTATAAAGGAAAATGTCATGTTAGTATTCAATGGTATTTACATTAAATTAAATGTATACTTTAGTGGAAGATAAAAAATGTGACTAATTGAATTTTCAACATAAAGTTATATAAATCTCAACAAAGTCAATGAAATTTCCTTAGATTGCATTAACCTGCCTTGGTTAAAAAAATAAGAGAGACCTCCATGGTTTTTTCTTTATCTTTTTCCTTTTGATGAAAATATTCAGATGACTAATAAGGGATGCAATTGGCCCATTTGAGAATGGATTTAGATGAGCATTATTGACACAATTAATGATCTTGTCTCACTAACAAAGAATAGAATTAAAATTGACCTTGGCTTCAACTGATTTACATTTTAATTTGGTTATTTGGTCACAGCTGGAAAATGGGACATGCACAAATAGCCATCTGGCCTGCCGTCTCTGTTCATCCTGACCACTCACTACCTGGGCTTAACTACTGCCCCTCACCTTTCTCTCAAAATTGCCTCAAACTCCCTGAGTCAAAGCCCAATACAACCTCAGCTGTGGTGTTGCCTAATCTAGGCTGTCCTGCCCAGCAGCAGCCATTCACCTGTGCAAGCTTGTCATTCCTGGTGCCTGATCACACCCAGCAGCCTTTGCCAGTTCCTGCTACCTATTTCCTAACCTATGCCTCAATAACCCCCGATGTCTTCTGCCATCACACTTTCTCCTGCACTCTTGGTCTCTGCTTTTCTTGGCAGCAATGGGTTCAGTGGTGGCGCTTGCCTGCTCCCACATATTACAAAGTCAAATCTCAGGCAAACTCTTGGCTTCCCACTGTCTTTAGTCGTCCCTTCAAACTTTTGCACAGTTCTGGCCCATGAGCTTCCTGGGATTCCCATTTTGGCATTCTGATCTTTCTTTGAGAATTCTTTCTCCCTTGCAATCTCAGGAACTTATCCCACCTCCCTGCTCTAGGAACTGATAATAGTGTCGATGCCTCCTGCTTTGTGGTGTCTTCTTGTTACTGTCTCTGAGCTGGGTCAGCTCAGCAGGTCTCCTGTCCAGCTGGATTCAAATGGTTGCTCTCGTTACCATTTGTTTATTCACCCTGCACAATTGCAGCACTTTTTGGACAGGTTGATAGTGCTTCCTCTGTTCCCCGGCCTAGTCTTTAAAGCAATATACACCTACAGATCAGGGCTGATATGAGTAAAAGTAAGTGGAAAAAATGAAACTTAACTGTGAGAAAAGAGTTCTGGAAAAAGAGGTGGGATGAGGAAATCTATGTGGAGTGACTGGGAGGAGTAGGTAAGGATAAATAGGAGTGCATATGAAAGAATGAGTGGGGGGACATGAGTATGAGATTGAATATTGCGTGCTATGCTGACAGTGATTCCACCTATCCAGCATGTGACTGCTAGCATTTCCCACACATTTAATGGACACAGTTTAGTAGCTTATCCTATTTAATTTTTAAAAAAAATCCTAGAAGAATTAATGAGAATAAAATTAAGAAAGGATTTCCCTAATTCCTTAAATATAGTTTGTGAAGTATATGAGAATAAGACTGTTATGTAGAGCAGCAAAGGAAAAATAAAGCTTTCATGTGAGGTTTTAACATAATTTTATCATATCCCCAAGAATGATATTGTTGGGGCCTACGGAGACATAAATCTTGACAAACAATGACTATAAGGTTACATGATGAGGATGGTTTTCCCACAGGAGTAGGTGGTTTCTTTCTGAAATAAGATACAGGTATCTTTCTGAAATAAGGCCCATTTGTATCCCTTGCCAAGTGCAATAAATTAGAATTGTTCCTAAATAACAAATTAGATAGCAATAAATTAGGATTGTTTTTCCACTAAAAAGGAAGGGAAAGCCTTTTCAAAGGTAATCATCATAATAAACCATTATTTGTGTAAAGTTATATTTAAAAAATAGACTAGAGGTGAAAACTTATTAATGTTTAGGCAATATTCAAGATTTATTTTCACAGCATTTGTACTTGTGTTGTCTCATTTCTCATCATACCTTTAATCTTACTTCAAGGTAAATGATGTTTTAAAAGGATTTTGTATTATCTAGAAAATATTTCTATGTTATAAGAAATATTATATACTTGATCATACTTAGCAATTTTTCAGACTGATAATTATTATATCTGCAATTAGGTATTAAAAATTCTCTAAAGTGACTGATACTGTTTTTATGAATAAAGGATTGAGGATTTTGTGGTTGTAGCTATGAGCCTCATTTGTATCTGAAAAGCCCACGAATAGTAACTGAAACTGCCAGATAAGCCACAGGTGATTCTAACACCATATGCCCACATCTGTAGTCCTTACAACTTGCCCATTTAGAGGGTTCTTGCAATATGTTCCTGAATCTGCATGTTGAAGTGGATCAAGAAAATGGATTTTATTTCCCCAGAAGAGCAGTGTCTTACTTGGGGCAGGAGCCATCACCAAGGACTCAGAAATAAACAGATTATAGAAGTGAATAAAATGTGTGATGAAGGTGAAATTTGAACCATATACCTACATACATAAGTTACTAATTTAACTATTAAAATATATCCATATCCAAAAAATGCATATTCATATATTATGTACTTTCCTTATCAAATTATTGTACTAAAATTTATTTCATATAGAAAATGAAATCCCATTAAAGCATATGACCAAAAATAAATTTTTAGCCTTTACAATTTTTATTGAAATATTTTATAAAGCACTGAAAGTCAGCACAAAAGGATGTGATTCAACTGATTCATTTCACAGATGAGGAAAATGAGAGCCCAGAGACGGTAACTAAATTGCCAAAGATAGCAGAATCCCAGTAGACTGCAGGCTATTAACTCCTAGGACAAGCCTTCTCCACCTTCTCTTGCAGTTGACTACCTATGTGATCCTCATAACACATGGAAGAAATTTAGGGGAGTTACTTTAATAGTTCAGTACACCTTAATATTATATGAGAAAGTCTGAAAATACCCCCTTTTTTTTAAACCAGTTTCTATATGGTAAAAAGAGATTATAATCATGGCTGTTTTTAAAATACTGTCTGCTCCTCCTGATTCTCTCCACTAGATGGAAGACTCTTGTATGATCAAATTGCCCAAGAACAAGGAAAAGCAGGTAAGTCTGAGCTGCAGGTCTAAACTAAAACAAATGAAGATTGATGGTGACTGTAGAAAAATGGATGAAACTTAAAAAAACTCTGTAAGTAAAAAGAAGGAAATTGTGTAAGCCCATAGTATGGTGCTATTTTTATAAAAGTCTAAGTACATATTTATATTTTTATGTATTTTGTTTAAAAATACATACATATGTTGTCAGACAAACACCAAATTCATGATAGTGGTTACTTGTAGAGGAGGAGGACAGAGAGTGTGGAGAAGGATTTCATCTGTATCTGAATTGCTTTTTTTTTAATTCTGAAGTGCTCAGATAAATAAGAAAAATGTTAAATTTTGACTTGTTGGATGATGCACACTGGACATTCATTACATGATTCTAGCAACAAATTCTTTCATTGTTAAAAAGAATGCTGGACTCAAGTTGCCACAAGAGGGGGACTGCATATTTGTACAAATAAATACATTAGACATATAGGAGTATTTAAACAAAATTTTGATCTAAATCTTCATTGACACAAGTCGTATTAAGAATACTAACAATTTGGCTCCATTGAAGACTTACATAGTCTTAATATAAAATGGTATCTATCCAGTCATTGCAGAATTTCATCTAAGAAATCCAAAGCCTCATCCCAGAAGCCTTGGGAGATAATGGGTTGGTTGTGGTTGCTATCATTTTGCTCCCCTACTCTGAAAATATTGTTTTTAACAAGGTGAAGAGTACCACTGACATATTTGAAAGCCAGAGAAGGAATTTAACCTACACAAAGGATATATCACTTGCCTGGGTTTTTAGGGTTTCTTGTGCCTTTATCTTCTCTTGGTAGTATGATAGCTAAGATTCAGCCTTTTCCTGATCCCCAATCAGATTCCTTTCTCTTCTCCCCTTCTACAGAGAACTCTGCATTAAATGATATTAAATCATTCCCAAATCTGGGATCCAAGGTTCAACATTACTTCTCCCCTCATCTTAATTTTAATATATTTAAAGTGATGTATTCTCTTCCTCACGACTGTATCTTTTCCTGATAAGGTGACTTGATATTTAAATTCCATATTCTCACTTGGAGTTCTGTCATCTACACCAAGTTCTGTTTTTAGTTCTTCTATTTATAGATTGTAGAATCAAAAACATGTCTTTCTTATTTCATTGCTATTTGAATTAAAATGTTTTTCATCTGATACCACCTATTAGTTTCCCTAAGCAGAAAAGTAAATAAGTTATATTGCTAATTTATTTTTAAAAATCAGTGATTACTAGCTAAAATATTTAACTGCATTCACATTTAAGGGCTTTGAACCATTTATGTTAGATTTCTGGAATTCTTTTTCTCTGATGCAATGATTTAGGGCTAGAGTTGAATTTGTCTGAACAATGACTTTCATTCAAAAATTATATACTCAGCCTAGCAAGTAAGAAGAGATAGTAAGAAAAGATAAAAATGGGATAAGAGATTACAGAAGGAACCAAGATCACAGAAAAAAATGATATGATAGGTTTGAGTTAGAAAAATTAGACCAAAAGAGGCAGGATGGAGAAGTTTGTCATAAATACTCAAAGTGTAAAATTTGTCTTGAAATGTAAATTGAGATCAAGTTTCTAAATTAATATCAGTCCCAAGGTTTAGAATTATAATTTCAAGTAGAGTTAGAATGAAGATGTCTTATCCAGAGACCAATTCTACATATCTGTGTTTTTCTTCTGTTTGCTAGCCCTTAACAGAGTACAATGGCATCTCTTAAAGGCAGAAGCAACCAGCAACTGTAGCTTTCTACCTTTCCAGAAGAACATACAGTATTTCTGTCTAATGGTAACTTTTGTTGTTTTCATCTGAGTTATTTTATTGTAGGACTGTGAAAATGGTAATTCTGAAAACAGCCAAGATGTTATAAATGAAGGAGTTTTGGTTTTGACTAAAAAAGTGGAACAGGAAATGAAACGTTAAAGGGAAAAAAAAGTTCCCCTGCCTCTCCTGGACAAATCAAATGTCCAGTTATCAAAGAACACAAGAAATATTGCATAGGTGAGCAGAAGGGGTTCTAAATATAATGTCTAAAATGCAAAGGCTGTGTCAGTTCCCAATTAAACATTCTGTAAGCAAAGCCTTGCTCTTCATTTATTTTCACTGGAAACTTCCATCAGATAGTGAATGGTGTATAACAGTGGGGCCACCCAGTGGCGAAGGTGGTTAACTGCAGCAAAGGTACATTTTATGGTGCATTTTTCTGTTTTCTATTTCACAAATGTTTACTCTTGAAAGTATAATACATTAGGTACCTTTAAGTAGAAATTTCATAATATAATAAACATTAAGCCCATAACTTGAATATTACTCACAATTTTAATCTTCATCTAAAAGACTGAAAAGTTTGTGAGCAGGCAACTTTTAAAAATAGAATAAAAGAAAAAATATTCAATTCTGCCTGAATTTGTTTTTTTTCTACTTTTTTTTTTTTTTGAAGATTTATTTTTATTTATTTATACAAGCACTGGGTACAGTCAGAAGCACGGGAGGGTGAGAGAATTCACTAGAGCCAGAGCGGGGAGCAGAGCAGGCAGAAGGACCGAAGTACACTGCTGAGGGGAGCAGCGGGCGGCAGGAGAGGTCTGCGGGCCATGTGGGACCCTCCTCCGGTGGCCGGGGAGCAGCTGGGGATCGAACCGGCGCTGCAGAGGCTGCGGGCAGCTTCGTAACCCAGCGCTCAACCGCTGTGCCACGGGGGAGGCCCTTTTTTCTACTTTTTAAAAACATGGGAATATACTCCTTTTTAAATACTGTTTTTTAAGACATTTTATTAATGCATATAAGAACTGGGGTACAGGCCAGAGGTGGGGGGGGAAAGGGGTGAGAGGATTCACCAGAGCCAGAGTGGGGAGCAGAACAGGCGGAATGACCGAAAGACACTGCTGAGGGGAGCAGCAGTGGGCAAGATTTGAGAGGTCTGCTGTGCCATGTTGTGAGGGTCAGCTCCCTGGCCGGAGATCGAACTCATACTGCAGTAGCTGCGGATTGCTTCATAGTGCTCATGCTTAAACCCTTGCGCCACCAGGGAGGCCCCTAAATACTATTTTTGATTTAAGAAAAAATTCTTTACAGAGACTAAAACTGGAAACTTGAAATTAAAACTTTAAGACTAAAAATATCTCCCTGACTCCACCCAAATTGTCAAAAAAACAAAAATACACTGATACTCAAAATATGAGGGCTTTTGAAGAGAAATGGCTGTCCTTGTGAAATAAATATATATATAAATTTAAAAAGATCAAAACTGAGGATATAAAAAGGGTTGCAGCTGAATCAAAGGAGAAGTGAGCATTTATATATTAAAAATGTTTTTTTCTTATTAAAATAGCAAAACAAATTCATTTAGAAAAACATGGAAAATTAGATAAACACAAAGAAGTATAATTCTCATCACAAATCCACTATTGATATATTTTTGGAAATTGTTCTTTATAGATGTATGCTATGATTTTAAATGAGAAAGGATTTGCTAAACATAACTTTTGCTATGCTTTATTTAAACAAACTAGAAATCAAATTGGATTTTTAGTTCTCATTTTTTTTCTTCTTTTTTGTTTTTTTTTTTTAATAGAGGCATGTTTTTATTTATTTATTTATTTATTTATTTGTTCGTTTGTTTTGTTTGTTTATACATGCACTGGGTACAGTCAGAAGCGCAGGAGGGTGAGAGAATTCACCAGAGCCAGAGCGGGAAGCAGAGCAGGGAGAAGGACCAAAGTACACTGCTGAGGGGAGCAGCGGGCGGCAGGAGAGGTCTGCGTGCCATGTGGGACCCTCCTCCGGTGGCCGGGGAGCAGCCGGGGATCGAACTAGCGCCGCAGAGGCCGTGGGCAGCTTCGCAACCCAGCGCTCAATCACTGCGCCACCGGGGAGGCCCTTTAGTTCTCATTTTTTGCTGTCATAAACAATGACCTGAAATCACTGCCTATAGCCCTTTTAAATTTAGGAAGATTTACAGTGAATAAATTAGTTGGTTAATTTTGAGAATTTTAAAACCTGTCTGATAGTTGCTTTTTAATTTTTTTTATTGAAGTAACTGCATTATAACATAGAATTTTTAGGTGTGCATCATTGAAAATCAATGTGTATATATCACATTAAGTTCAGCACCAAAATTCCAGCTCTGTCCTTCACCATACAATTGTTCCCTTTTACCTAACCTACTACTCCATTGCCCCCTTTCCTCTGGTAGCCATTAATTGGTATTATCATCTAAAGTTTGTTTTGTTTTATTTAGCTCATCCATTTGTTTCCTCTATATACCATACATAGTGTTTGTCTTTCTTCATCTGATTTATTTCACTAAATATGATACTCTCTAGGTTATCCATGTTGTTGGAAATGGCAGGATTTTATCTTTTTTTAATAGCTGAATACTTTCCATTGTGTGTATATACCACATATTCTTTAGCTGTTAGTCTGTTAATGGGCATTTAGGGTGTTTCCAACTCTTGACTATTGTTAACATTGCTGCAGTAAACATGGGGGTTCATATATCTATTCAAATTTGTATTTTTCAGGTAAATACCAGATGTGGACAGTATATGGACAAACATTTTTGAAGACCACTGTTGTAGGCCCTAAGAGCCACCTATAGTCATGTCAAAAGGTGACCCTGCTTCTGTTCCACTTCTCTTTTCCCTTCTACTCCCTCTCCCTCTCCTTCTCTTGTTCCATCTCCTCCTCCACCACACCACCATATATAGATCTATATCTTTATATATATGAATTAATTATAAGTACCCACATATATAATGATAATTTGAAGACATTATAGGAAATAATAATAGTTGCTAATGTAGGATGGTTAGATTACACAAATTAGACCACAATTTCTTTTTTAAAAAAAAAAGATTTATTTATTTATTTATGCATAAAAGAACTGGGGTACAGGGCCTCCCCGGTGGAGCAGTGGTTGAGTGCTGGGCTGCGAAGCTGCCCGCAGCCTCTGCAGTGCCAGTTCGATCCCCAGCCACAGGGTGAGGGTCCCACATGGCGCGCAGACCTCTCCTGCCGCCCGCTGCTCCCCTCAGCAGTGTACTTCGTCAGTCTGTCTGTTCTGTTCCCCACTCTGGCTCTGGTGAATTCTCTCACCCTCCCATGCTTCTGACTGTACCCAGTGCTTATATAAATAAATAAATAAATCTTTAGAAAAAAAAAAACCTGGGGTACAGGCCAGAGGTGCAGGGGGTAAGGGAATTCACCAGAGACAGAGTGGGGAGCAGAGCAGGCAGACTGGCTGAAATACAGTGCTGAAGGGAACAGTGGGTGAGACAGTAGAGGTCTGCTGTGCCATGTGGGTAGCTTCCTGGCCGGTCTACAGAGGCTATGAATAGCTTCACAGTGCTGTGCTTACCCCCTGTACTACTAGGGAGGCCATAGACTACAATTTCTTATAAAGTTGAAATAAGTAAGTTTTAAATAAAAGAAAATCATAACTGACATGAACCCCCCCCATGAAAAGGCAATCTAAAAATGGATTCTATTGATAACAAGTAAAAATGAGACCATGTACCCCAAATGGAGGATTTTAAAGAACTTTGAAAAAACTAGAGAACTAATACATATATGGTAGGGAGCAAAGAGGATAATTACTCATAAAAATCCGTGAAGTACCAATTTAAGTTTATTTATGTTCATAGGTTCATTAGGATTCTCATAAATAAAGGTCTGTTATATAGAGTACCTCAAATTTTTCTATTCCTGAAATATTAACTCTGTAAGCTGCAATTTGGAGTGACTGAATAAAAAATTGTGTTAACCAGAGAATGACTTTCATAACTCAAAATAGAAATTGCAAGCATGTAATAATCATAGGAGATTCCAGTGAGATGTGCAATAACAATAGATTAAAATACTGAGTTTGGCAGAGGAGTTAGCACAAAGGTGCCTGTGGTATGGCCAATCATTACAAGGACAGAGAAAGGTGTACTAGAGATAAGAATTGGGTAGGATGCTGAAATTCCTGTGGTTGTTTTTCTGGATAGATAATAAGTAAGTTTATAGTTAATTGGGGTTACTGCTTTTAGCTGCACCAAGCAGCAATATGAAAAGTGAGTCCCCTCATTGCTTCCAAACTTTGTCCTATGACCAGCTGGTAGTCTTTTTTGCTAAACTGATTGTATATCTCCTGAATATTGACCCAGGTTTCTATCCTGCAGTTCTCCAAGACACTCTATTATCTATTATTACATGCATTATAAAAGTCATAGGGTTGTTAAGCAAAAGTTCTAAAAAAGCAAAAGTTATTAGTGGTGTTAAATAGAAACAAAAAGCACCATAAATTTATGGGGTTTTGTGTCAACAATTCTATTAATTACTAACACAATGACTAAAAAGTATTTTGCTTCACCTTGGGCAAAATACTTTTCTACAGCTCATTTCCCTTCCCTGTAAAATGAATATTTTCATTTTATTGCTAATGTTATTATGCAACAGGGATTATGCTGCACAATAGTGATTGAAAAAAAATGGTTAAGGCAAAATGTCTAGCCTGAGGGAGCTCAAAGTCTAGTGAGGGAGACATACTTAAGAAGAGATAAATCACATGGTAAATTCAATAAATTTCATATGGAAGCACAGAAAAAGCATCTAAGGAGCAAGGTAGGTTTGAATGTAGGGGCTCAGGTTTTATCTTGAGATTCAAAGTTATCACTATATAAAAGTAAATTTCACATTTAAAATAGCCACTCCACTACTGCTGCTTTGTCTTCATTTAGGAGTGATGTTAGTTATAAATTCTTGCTACAAAAAGGAGCATTTTGCACTGGACAGCATCAAAGTTGTGAAACATGAATCTCTTCAGGAAGATAAAATCCTGCATTCTTTAAGAATGAGTGTTTCAAAGACTATATACTCAAGGAGCTGCCCTATTATTCTGTAAAGCCTGGAATTTAACAAGTTTTCTTAGTCAAAGCTAGTCTGATATAGCAACGACAACATAGTTTACAAACCCTAGGGAGTCATGAAGAGTAGTACACAAAGAAAGAATCTAAGAAGGGAAAAATGTGAACTCAGAAAGGAATCTTCTCAGGATTCTCAAGAACTTTGACCTTTTTCTTGACCAGCTATGGATCTATTTAAAAACCATTGTGCATGTTTTTGGAAACATTTTTCTAGATAGAAAATATTTGGAGTGCTACATGTTTAGAATAAATGAATGAACCAAAGAGGGCTGTACTATATAGTATTTGAGTTGCTTGTCATTCCTTCTTTTCTTACTCTTGTCAAACCAATTTTTTAAAAAGATTTATTTATTTATGCATACAAGAGCTGGGGTGCAGGCCAGAGATGTGGGGGTAAGAGGATTCACCAGAGACAGAGTGGGGAGCAGAACAGGTAGACAGACTGAAATACACTGCTGAGGGGAGCAGCGGGTGAGGCAGGAGAGGTCTGCTGTGCCATGTGGGTTGATCCCTGGCCGGCCAGCAATCGAACTTGTTCTGCAGTGGTTGGCGATAGCTTGATAGCACTGTCTTTAACCCCTGAGCCACTAGGGAGGCCCACCAATCAATTATTTTGAAAATCCCACATCTAGCCTCAAAATTTTAACACAATTCACTAGGGAACCATTCCCAACATGAAGAAACTACTACATTACTGGAAATGATATGGTAGGGATAGTAGAAAGTGTGCTATAAAAGGGTGAGGCTGTCCTTAAGCATGTCATGGTGAAATGATAAAGAGGGAGACATACATGCCTGGCAGTGTGGGGGCCATCTTATCTCCTGTGGCACAGTTGGGCCTCTCCCTAGTGGCTAAATTGAAAGAGTTTCAATTGGGCCTGAGAAAGGGTGGTAGATGGAGTTCTATTTTCTTAATTTTTATTTATTTTTAGGATGGAGTTTTTTTTTTTTTTTAATAGAGGCATGTTTTATTTATTTGTTTATTTGTTTATTTTGTTTGTTTGTTTATACATGCACTGGGTACAGTCAGAAGTGCAGGAGGGTGAGAGAATTCACCAGAGCCAGAGCGGGGAGCAGAGCAGGCAGAAGGACCAAAGTACACTGCTGAGGGGAGCAGCGGGTGGCAGGAGAGGTCTGCGTGCCATGTGGGACCCTCCTCTGTGGGTCGGGGATCGAACCAGGGATTGAACCGGGGATCGAACCGGCGCCGCAGAGGCCACGGGCAGCTTTGCAACCCAGCGTTCAACCGCTGCGCCACTGGGGAGGCCCTGGAGGATGGAGTTTTAATGAACATATAATCTAGGATGGAGTTTTAATGAACATATAATCTAGGGAAAATGTGAGAAGTTGGAAAATGCTGAGGAAAGGAAGAATCATGTTAAATTCCTGTTTGCTTTCTGCAGTGGCTCTCAGCCCACTTTGATCTAGCACATCACATATCTTCTGTCATTTTCCTTTTCTGCTTCTGTCTGCAATATAAGCTGACTGGGTATGCAAAAGGACATGGGACACTTAATTTAATTTGTCTTATAGTTATCTGTGTGCTTGTTTTATTTTCTCATATTAACATTCAAATTGCAAGTACGTGTTACTATTAATTGTGTCCTCTCCAATAATGTCTAGTACAAATATTAATGTAAATGGTGAACTTCAAATGCTTTTGCCATTGAACTAAGAAACCTTGTGCTTCCCTGCATACAAGAGACTCTGATTCAAAGCAAGCACTGCATCCAGTAAAACAGATACCCATCATTTCAGGGTGTTATCTCCTAACTGTCACCATTACTGACTGAGTTTATCTCAGTGGTAGTATCTCCTTTAACCATATGTGGTCGACAAAGGAGAGCAGCCACAGAGTTTTACAAGGATGTAGGTGCTTTCCTTATTAATGTATTTCTTAGTGTTTTAGTGAAAAGTGTGTTCTTCTGGGCCTTCTCATGAAAGATTGCAGGGGTGGGTATGCAGATATATGATACAATTTAATTTTCCCATTTCCCTAGACCCTTGAATTTCTTGGCCTCCATCATTCCAGGAGAACTTTGGTGTCTCATATGCAGGTCACAGTTGAGCCACATTTATCTGCATGAATTAACACACAAATCTGGATACTTTATAAGTATACCCCTATCAGTTATATTGGCCCATTCTGGAATTAAATTTTACCCTATCGGTCTTATGCTCTTTGAATATACTCAATGCATATTCCCTAGATTTCTGCTGATACAGATTAGCAAAGTCTTGCAATTATTTTGGTTTTAAGTTATTACTTCCTGGATAGTAGTATGTACCTGTCTCCATGGAGCACATTAATATTTAAACCTACTTAATCTATGTAGTGGTTATGGTGGGTTTTGAGGAGAATAAACATTCCCTTTTAAAGATTCTACCCCTGGAAAGGTTATCAAAGAGTTGTAAAGAAAAGCTAAACTTCGGAGGGCAAGCTATTTTCATCTATAGGTTTAAAGTTACTTGGCATTTCAGACTGTCATTTTCATCTGGGTCCAAGCAGATATCCTCATCCCAACTGTCAAGATCCCACTGTTAACCATTCAATGCCTTAACTTTTATGTGAATCATTTGATGGGACTTTGAATCCAACTATTGGTGTAATTTAGCAATATAAAAAAAAAACACCTTTGTGTTCGATTTGCAACAATCTCACCCTTTGGTGAGATCTAAAACTAAAGGATTCTTTTTTACTGTCATGGTAGCATTCTGGTCTTAGATTGTGTGACTTAAGCTGAGAACTGAAAGATACGATCTTGTAATTTTTGTCAGTAAGTGCTAAAGTACACTCAGAAAAATCTCTCCAATAGCACTGTCCTTATAATCATCTTAACTGCCATAGTAGTTTAAGTGCAGCAACATTTTGGGCAAGTCCTTGCCCAAGTTGGCATGTCATTACAATCAACCATA